AATTGGATTGCTCTGGAGTTTACTGCATATCATGTGGCGCCTGTGAACTGAAATATATTAGTGAAACTGTAAAAAAATCAGCATACGGATCAAAGAACATCAAAGGAAATGAATATAAAGATCAGGACAGAACCAAGAGTGTTAACACAACTGTCTCGACAAAAGGTTGGCCATGGTATTCGATTCACTTTTTTCTTTAACCTATTATAGCTTTGTTGCTGTGTCTGGCAGTACTCACTGACAATTCCGATTTCGATGCATCTGAAACGTTTGGGAATGTACCTATTCCATGTTCTGAATTATCATATTATCCTGCATACTCTGCGCTCTTGACAAGGTGCGTTCTTCTAGGTCTTCCTGCTAGTATCACTTTTTTGCGCAAACATGGTCAAATGACTTTAAGACTTAGCTTTTCACTATCTTATGATGTTATTCATCATAGCTAGAACTTATTTTTGTTTGTCTTATGTTTTCACTGGATTCTTGAACCATTAATTTATTATCTTTAATTTTTGGGAATAATGACATATTAGCATCGAATTTTTTTAATTCGTTATTTAGCCATATTCTTGATACCTCTTCATTTGCTTTATCGTTATTTCGTCTATTTTACCGGCAAATAATTGCTTGTTATATCACCTACAGTTGCTACACACGTGCGAATCACAAGTCACTTTGCCTATTTTTAAAATCACATATTTTCTGATTGGCAACCTTGGCTTTTCTGAAGATGTAATGTGCTTATTGATGCGCACTTATGAATTTATAATACCTTAGTGAGTGCTACTGAGATAAAGAAGAGGTCTAAACTATAGTCCGATTGGGAAGATAAATCTTTTTGAAAGCATGACTAAGCGGCAACATTACGCCTATTGATTTCACTGTGGGAAATACAAATATCAATCAGCACAGCATCTCGGTAGAATAGTGTTCCCTTAAATCGTAAATTATTTTAAGATAAATTCTTGTTGTATGCTTTATTTCATATATCATCTTGATATTTTTCACTGATCATTTACTTCTATTCCTTGTCTTTCGTCCTATGCTCCTACAAACATGTTTTCCACTCCCACATCATGGCATTAGATACTATCACCTACTGAGATATCTTTTTATGCAAACCGTTCATTAAATAATGCTGGCCTTCATGGTGATATTCTTATGGAGCGCCTTTTGATTACTATTAGCCCAACTACAATTCATCTGCTTTCGCGTATTTTGGCTAGTCTCTCGTCTCTTGGACCTCGCAAGGCATGTGATGAAGTGGCAACTGCTCCTAGCACTGGAGGATCAACTAGTCTACCTGCTACTAGGTCCGCTATATCTGGCACTAGTAAATCCGTTTCCTTAGGAAATGTTAACACTAGGGAAGAAATTGGTTCTTCCATCTCGCTTGACAATCCTGATGAAGCACCTTGTGTGGCCGAGGTTCCGGATACATTCTGGAAGCCAGCACCACTGGACAGACTTGATTTGCCCTTCTTGGAGAGAATACGTTAGTCAGAAGGAGATTCTACATTTTTTTAAATTTTGAATCCTAGTTTAATACATTTGGCCGTCTGCTTATGGTTTTAAATCCATGCTTTCTTATCTGTTTACTCAGATGTATTAATATGGATTACAAAAATTTATTT